ATATAAATATATTTACATATGTACATGCCTGTATTTAGACCTCTATAAGTGCCCATTGTTTCTTTTTTCTATTTCCTTTTACTAGTTCTTTCCTCTATTTCCTTTTGCTTTCCTAGTTCTTTCCTCCATTTCATTTTACTTTTGTCTTGTCCCACTATCATGTTCAGCCTTCATTCGAATTTCAGTAATTCCTCTCAGTTACATTTCCCTTGATCAAGCCCTACCAGGCATCTTAAACTGACCTCGCCATTGATTTTAGATCAATTGTTCTTCCCTTGTCCCTGAGTTTGTTAACACCCACGTCATTTCCCCCGCCTCTCCCTCTCCCATGTTCCGTAGAACTGTCAGTCCCTGTGGTCTTCTCCTCCAGATTATTTATCCTGCCTATCTTATCTAGATAGGCATGAATGAGACAATAATAAGCACAAAAAAATAAACAGAACAAAACAACACAGCAAAAGAAAACAAACAAAACAAAAATAAAACAACACTGACCAAAAAAGAAAAGCCTATAAATAGTTTGCACCAGAATTTGGAGAACATCTCCAGAACAGATTTGCTGCATGGAACACAAATGACAGAACACCTGATGAGCTGTGGGAGGACAACACGGACATCACTCATGAAGAAGTCAAAAAGCCATAAAAAGAAACTAATATCAAATTGGATGTCTGAAGAGACTCTGACACTTGCTCTTAATCGTAGGGTAGCTAAAGCAGATGAAGAAATGATGGCATCAAAGAGCTGAACAGAACATTTCAAAGGGCAGCTCGAGAAGACAAAGTGATATAACAATGATATTTTCAAAGACCTGGAATACATTCAGCATATCTTAAATTGAAAGAACTAAAGAAAAGGTTCAAGCCTCCAATTGCCTAAATTGAAAGATTTTATGGGCAAAATATTGAAGGATGCAGGAAGTAGCAAAAGAAGATGGATAGAGTACACAGTCACTGTACCAAAAAGAACTAGCACGCATTCCCTATCTCAAGAGGTAGCATATGAGCAAGAACCAATGGTACTAAACGAAGTTCAAGCTGCAATGAAAGCATTACCCAAAACCAAAGGTCCAGAAATGGACAGCATACCAATTGAAATGTTGTAGCACGCTGATGAAGCACTCACTCATCTCCTTCAGGAGGCTGGAGGTCTAAAATCAGTATCACTGGGTTGAAATCAAAGGTACTGGAAGGGTCACATCTCACACAGACGGTTTTAGAAAAGACACTGTCTCTCGTCTGAGATTCCAACCATCAAGGTGGATATCTTGCAACATCTCTCTGCTTCATCTTTGCATCACTTTTCAATCCTCTTAGTCATCTTGATCATCCAGGATAATCTTCCTGCATCAAGATCCTTAAAATAATCATACCCACAAAGACCCCGTTTTCAAATAAAGTAACATTTACAGGTTCCAGGGATTAAGATCAGACATTTTGGGGAAGCCATTTTTCAGTCTACCATACCAGCTATCCAAGACAACTCCTGTTGTTGTTAACATGGAGGCGGTTCCTACTCATGGCAACCCCGTGTACAACAGACCAAAACACTTGGCAGTCCGGCGCCATCTTCACAATCTGCCCATTGCTTGAACCCCCTGTGGCAGCCATTGTGTCAACCAGCTCATCTCACGTTTTTTTTGCCAACCCTCTACCAAGTATGATGTCCTTCTCCCGGGACCTTTTCCTCCGGATAGCATGCCCAAATTAAGTGAGACAAAGTCCTTGTTTTAAGGAGTAGTTGAGCTATAGTTTCTCTGAGACATGTTTATTTTCACTTCTGGCAGTCCATGGTAGATTCAATATTCCCCACCAACACCATAATTCAAAGACATCAGTTCTCTTCTCTTTCTTCTTCATTGTTCCATTTTCACGAGCATATGAGGCAACGGAATATACCAGAGGTTGGGCCAAGCCCTAAACTCCTACTCACTAAATAGCTAAAAGTGTAGTGTAGCTAAAAGCTAGACAATTTAAATGAGTATTCTAATTCTACCATTTAAAATCTGTACGACATTGAACAAGACACTTTATCTCTCTCTCCCTTCGTTTGCTCAATTGTACAATTGGGGGGGTTCATTGTATGCATTTCAAATGCTTGCTGTGAAGATAGAAGCATGAGAGTACTATTCGGGGATTGATTTGACACTGCTTCCTTTCTCTGCTACAACCATATCTGGCACTGACTAGGAGTAAAGCAATCACCTTCATAGCAGTCTGACAACTGCTTGCATCACTCATGTCCATCTGACTGTGAGCTTCTTGAGGGCAGGGTCTTGTTGTTGCCAGGATAGCCTTGCCAGTTGGCATAGAATCAAGCACAAACGCGATTCACTGCAAATTGGTCCAAATACAATTGATAGACTAGGCAACTGAGCATCATGTGAATTTTATATTTTCTTATGTCAGCCTTCCTCCGTGAGAAAGTCGAAGTGGACACAGAGCACCACACCCAACGGAACCCAAGTGATGAAAGACTAACCAAAATGCACGCAGGCACACTCCTCACACATCTGCCTGCCTGTCAGTTCACTGTGTGTGCCCTGAGCCATGCCCAAGCACAGCTAGCTTTACAGCTTTCCGCCTGGGCTCAGATAAGCTGCTTCCACTATTTCACAATAACTCATAACTCATCAACTGCACACCTTCCATAAGGAAACTTCAAGTCTTTTCAAAGTAATGCTTTCTAAACTGTTATTTCCCCCTTCCCCCTCTTTCCTACTCCAGGTGATCACTAGTAAATTTGATCTCTATACATTTGCCTGAATAGGCAAATTAATTATTTCATATAAATGAGATTATTCAGTATCAGTCCCCTTGTGGTTGATTTGCTTCACTCCGTATAATGTCTTTAAGCTCCATTCATATTATAACATATGTCAAGACTTTCTCTTATGGGTTGGAGAGTATCTCACTGTAGGTGTTGCCATAGTTTGTTTATACATTCACCTGCTGATGCATATTTGGCTTATCTCCACCTTTGGCTTTTGTGAACAGTGCTATGATGAACATCGGTGTTTATGTGGGTTTGTGTCTACATTTTCCAGTCCCTTGAACACATACATGCCAAGAGCAGACTTGCTGGGTCATATGGAAGTTCTGTGTTTAGGGTTTTCAACAACCACCAAACTATCTTCTACAGTGATTGCAGTGTTCAGTTCTGAATGTCCACCAGCAGTGGACAATTATTCCCATTTCCCTGTCCTTTGCAACTTTTCTTGCTTTCCTTTTTTTAAAATCATAATATCTGAGTGGAGGTAAAGTAGTATTTCATTTGTGGTTTTGATTTACTCTCTCTGATGACTGATGTACTGATGAAGTTTTGCCTTGTAGTGCTCCTCACTCCATGTTCCCTATAAGCTTGGTGGAGTTTGCTGTGTGACTTTGCATAGTGTGATTTATAGGATGTGCCTCATTATAAACATTTAGACTTTGGTGGATGGTGAAGAATTCTCTCTTGTTTCCGTGAATATCTAAGGCTCCTGAAATTGTGGAAACCTCTGTTAGTTAGCAGAATCTCTGTTTAGGCCAACAATTAAAAGTGATAAATATCTTTTCCTACCCAACTACATGTCAGACATTGTGACAAACAGTGGCAATATTGTGGTTCATGGGAACAATGCCTGTGATTCATTCCATCTAGAGGAGAGAGAGACAAACACATAATTATAGTAGACTGAGACAGATACTTCTGAAGAACGAAGCAAGGTCTTCCCTCCCAGACTTCAGGGAGTCAGCAAAGACCTCCCAGAGGATGCATCCGCTTTCCTAGATTATTCCCCCTCCACCCAGCTCTTTCTTTGCCTTTTCTCATCTCTGATTCCTTCAGTGTGCCGAGCTAGTGAGCCCATTAGCAATGAACAACTAGATAGAGCAGGGAAGAGTTAATGTGGTGCAGGTGGGCGGGGTAAGGGTTCCGAAGGAAGCCAGTAGAAAACCATAACAGGGTTCCCTTAAGCAGTAGTCAAGACAGGAAGATTTCAAGATACAGTGCTTAGACTTGTCCCCAGTCAAGCCTCTTGCAATACTTTCTTGGTCATTTCTCCATGTAACGTGTGTTAGGTGCTTGTCGTGAGCTAGATTCCGAGAGGAGTCCATTCTGCTTGGTCTCCCTCCTCCAGCACCAGAGATGCTTCCTCCAGCTGCGATTTCTCCCCTTTCTCTAACCCCTGCTCTGCCGACACCAGGGCCGAAACTGCTCTGCTGAGGACTCCCTTCTGACTCGTGCAGAAGGAACAAAGACAAGGGAGGCAAGTTCCTTTTCCGGCTAGCATCGGTCTCTCTCTGTTACCATCAAGCCTCCACGACAACTCTCCAGCTGGTGTTCAAGAGCATCATATCATCAAGTTCAGAAAAATGTGAGCACCTAAAAATTCTCCTAGGTTTTCTCCTGACAGACAGAGGGAAGTCCGGCTTCCCTCCAAATCGTGTCTCCCTTCCCTCTTGTTTCTACTGTGGCATTGTACTTCCCTCTTGGAGGGCTGGCTCCCAGAATGTTAGAGGTGGGACTGTCTCACGGCTATAGTAGAACTGACGACGCTGAAGCCCAGAGAAGTAAACGACCTTCCCCCGATGCACAGCCACAGACAGGACAGGCAGAGCTCTGATCCTTACCTAGCACTGACTTCCCCCCATCTACAGAGAGGGCGACTAACTCTACTTGAAGCCTGAGGAGACACACTCTTCTCAACACCAACCTCGCCTGACTTCCTAGTTGTACCAGCGGCCACTGAGGCAGGCAGCGCCACCCCTTCTCCTCGCTAGCAGCATCCTATTTCTCTCCCTACAACACTCACGGGATTTCAGGTACAAAGGATTTTCCCATGTTAGCCTGGCTTGTGACTTTGATTATGCACTCCTAACCTCCAACGAGAAGTCTAGAACCCTTTGATCCTAACCCTAAGCTACCCATGGGTATCACAGTGGCACCACCAAGGTCTAACCCTTGTCCTTCCCCTTAGCAAGGCATGTCCCCATAAGCTCTAAAACTTTACCCTCCACTCCCACCAGATGGAAGAAGCTCTGCATTCCAACTCTACCTGCCTGCGCCCAACCTTCTTCCTACTGACTGGTATTCCAGGGCTAGGGGGTGCCCAGGCCTGGCTGCTCTTAGTATTTGGGCCCATGTATCTTCTGGCTCTGCTGGGCAATGGAACGTTGTTGGCAGTGGTGCGGACAGATACCACCCTGCACCAGCCCATGTTCCTGCTCCTGGCTACATTGGCATCTACAGACCTGGGCTTAGCCACATCTATAGCCCCAGGGCTACTGGCTGTGCTGTGCCTGGGGCCTCAGCCTGTACCATATGCTGCATGCCTGGTCCAGATGTTCTTTGTCCATGCAATGACTGCCATGGAATCCGGGGTGCTGTTGGCTATGGCCTGTGATCGCGCTGTGGCAGTAGGGCGTCCACTGCACTATCCTGTCCTAGTCACCAAAGTTCGTGTCGGCTATGTCATCTTGGCCCTGGTCGTGAAAGCTGTGGCTATCGTTGTACCTTTTCCTCTGCTGGTAGCACGATTTGGGCACTTCCGAGCCAAGAGTATAGGCCATTCCTACTGTGAACACATGGCGGTGGTGGAACTGGTGGTGGGTAACACACGGGTTAACAACTTGTATGGACTGGCACTTTCACTGGCTGTATCAGGGTTGGATATCCTGGGCATCGCCGGCTCCTATGGGCTCATTGCCCATGCTGTATTACGGCTGCCTACCCGGGAGGCTCGTGCCAAGGCCTTGGGTACATGTAGTTCCCACATCTGTGTCATTCTGGCATTCTATGTGCCTGGTCTCTTCTCCTACCTGACGCACCGCTTTGGTCGTCACACTGTCCCAAAGCCTGTGCACATCCTTCTTTCCAACATCTACTTGCTGCTGCCACCTGCCCTCAATCCCCTCATCTATGGGGTCCGCACCAAGCAGATCCGGGACCGGCTCTTAGAATTCTTGACCTCCAAAAAAAGTCAGTTCTAATGGGAAGCCTGTTATGGGTGAGTTGTATACCTAAAAAAATGTTTTAAGTCTAAACACTATGCCTGTGGTTATAACTCCACTTGGGAATGTGTTGTCTTGGTTATAGAGATATGGTGGGATTGATGTATGGCATGGCATGATTCAATCTCCTGTCAGGGGGTAGACGAGATCAAACAATTGAGCAGAGTAGAATTAGGGCAAGAGACTTCAAGCCACATCAAGACTGCCCACGAGCAAAGGCTCCACGGAGACCAGGACCTTCCTCCGGAGCTGGGAGAGCACACTTCCCTCTAGAGCAGTGCTTCTCCGCCTTCCTCAGGCCGTGACCCTTTCAGACAGTTCCTCATGTGGTGGTGACCCCAACCATAAAATTATTTTTGTTGCTACTTCATCACTATCATTTCGCTACTGTCATGAATCGGACAACCCCTGGGAAAGGGTCGTTTAACCCCCAAAGGGATGGCGACCCACAGGTTGAGAACTGCTGCTCTAGAGCCAGTACCCTGAACCCAGTCTTCTGACCTCCTTATCTATGAGAAATCAATTGCCCTTTGTTAAAACCGCCCACCTGTGGTGATTCTCACCTAGCAGCCCTCACTCCAAACCAAGCCCAATGCCATCGGGCCCATCCTGACTCATGGTGACCCGCTGCAGGTTTCTGAGACTGCGACTAATTACGGGAGTAGAAAGCCCAGGCTTTCTCCAGTGAAGCTGTTGCTGATTCCAAACTGCCGATCTTGCAGATTGGAGCCTGATGCATAACCACTACACCACCAGGGATCCTCTAGCAGCACTAGCTAAATCAATCACAGAGGAAATCAGCAAGCCTGGAAGTGAAGGTGGAGGGTCATTTTGAGGAGAGTCCAGGACCTTGGCACATGGATTAAGCTATGCTTCGTCCCACTATTTGTGTGTAACTGAAACACACTCAACAGATATTTGCTGTGAAACCCCAGCTATGTGCATCGCTGGCAACCCTATGCTACTTGAGAGGAGGCAGGGGGCTCCACGTCACCATGCAGGGAGAACAAGATCAGAAAACACATGGGGGATCACAGTAGCCAAGGGTTAATGTAAAGAACACTTCTCCCTTTTTACCTAATGTGCCTATGTTTTCACTCCACTGCTCCTCTGCGATCCCAAGATGAAGAGACTGAGATGGGTGGCATAGTGAGGCGGGTGCTTGGGTACTTGTCTGGGATCATAACATTCTATTCCTGGATTCAGACTCTGTTTTCAGTCTATCCCCAGGGATGAAGCAATCCAGGCTTATTCCCTACCTTCTGACAATCTAGTTAATGTACCCTGGGGTCCCAATACTGGTCTAAGGTATTTCCAGTTCGGAGAATCCTCTTGGTCTCATGTGTAATCACTAGTCCCTGGCCCCTAAAGCCCAAATAGCTAGGATCTCTCTCCCTAGAAATGTGGCTCCAAGGATCATAGGTCAGAGGGTCAAAATGTGATATCCCACATCTTTGTAACCATGCCACCTGCTTGTCTGAAGCCCAAATTCACAATGGTCTTTTGCAGTCTCCCTTTTTCTGTAGCCTAAGTCCAAAAAGTCCAATCTCCAAAGAAAATCCCATCAATATCTACATTTGCCCTAGTCAGTATCACTAGAAGTACATGCTATTAGTGCAAGAGGATGAAATAGGGATATTTCACACTGATGCTGCTGCCAGAGATTATTTGAAGATGTTAAACAGAAATCGTCATGCTGTTATCCAGAAGGGAATTCATTTTAAGATAAGGCTCCAGACTGGAAAGGATGTTCTACTACGAAAGGTCTTTCACATCGGTCTGGAGGTTCAGAATGAGTCTAATCTAAGACAGAAGACAGGGAGTAAATGCTGTGAGGGTAGAGAAAGTTCCAGGCTGCACATTCAAACCCAAGCTCTCCAGGAAACCTATCACGACCACAGGCTGGGAATTTGTCAAGAAGACTTGAAGCCAGGAGCCAACCCAGCTCCCTCAGCTCCAGACAGCTGAACCAAGCCTGGTGGCATCAAACAAAAGAGGAGTTTGCAGATCTGAAAAGATAGGTGGTGCCATCTCCAGGGCTGCATGGGGTCTCACCAAGTACTCATTAGCAAGGAACTGAAGAGAGGACCCAGTTGTTCTCAGCACTTTCCAGAGTGTCGTCACACTAAAGCTAAGTGTAAATCTACTTTCTGATGGAAGTGTGGCTTCACTCATTTTCGGGACTAATCTTTATTTTCATGAAGTACCAAGTTTTAAAGTCTGTCAGGCAATGATATGTATAGACAGAATTTGTGTCTCGGGTCTTTATGATGTACATAATCTTCTCCTAGTGATTCCCCTTTAATAAAACTATCCTGAGAAAATAATTCGAGATGTGAACACACATGTATATAGGACAATGTTTATTTTAATATTATTAGGAAAAAGTGTATATGTGTGACAACTCTGTGACAATCACATACACACACACACACACCACCACCACCACTTTTTATCCTTGCTTTGTAATACTCTGTCTTTCTCTCTCTCTCTCTCTCACTGCCATTGTGTAGACTCTGACTCATCGTGACCCTATAGGGCAGGGTAGAACTGCCCCTGTGGGTTTCCAACACTCTAACACTTTACAGGAGTAGAAAGCTTTAGAGAAATTAGTAATTTCGAATCGCTGACCTTGCAGTTAGCAGCCCAATGCCTAACCATTATGCCACCAGTATACAAGGGAGTACCGCCCCCAAAATGGGATTTTTTTTCCAAAGCTATGTATTTAAAGATTTTTACAAAACAACCTCATCGCCTTCAAAGTATTCTCCATTACCCTTAATACATTTGTCAAATCTGTTGATTCCATTCTCAGAAAAATTTTTCAAACTCATCAGTTTGGATGGCTGACAGCACTTCCCTCATTTTTTTCCCCTTCGCCTCTTCTAAGTCATCAAATCGCTGTCCTTTTATGTTCCTCTGCATTCATGGAAACAAAGAAGTTGCATAGTGTGAGGTCAGGTGAGTAAGGTTCGTGGAGCAAGAAAGTCATGCTGTGTTTTTGCCAAAAACCGGCACATTGAGATGGCTGCATGAGCAGGTACATTGTCGCGGTGTAAAACCAGTCCCCTGTCTGCCACAACTCCAGTCTTCTATGTCACACAGTGTTATGCAATCTTTTCAGAACCTTTAAATAGAAAGCTTGATTAACAGGCTGACCTGGGGGAACATCTGTTTGGGAAGTTGACAGACGTCCAGAACGAGTTTTGTCATCAATGGACAGTTCACCTTTTTTTAAAACCACTCGTATACTTGAGTTTTTCCCATAGTGCTGTCCTTGTAAGCTATGTTCAACATCACAACGGTTTCTGCAACATTTTTCCCAAGAAGGAAACAAAATGTCATAGCCACACCCTGTGCTCTTAAATTGGCCATCACACACACACAAAAAAAAATGAAATTAGAGCAAAACTGATTTTACGAAAAAATTCAAGGTGACCAGAAAGAACCTTCCCAGACAACTGGGTGCACTAACTCAGAAGCAAGTTGCTCGATGCTCGCCTAGCAGGAAAAATGTGTGCTACGAAAGCTCTGCTCTACCCAGCACAATTTCAGTGTTTGGGGGGTGCCCCCCTCGTATGCTCATAAACAGTAAGTTCTATCACTCTCCCAACACAAGAAGCCACTCTCCTAAAGCACCGGCACACCTCTTCCAAGGTAGCTGGTTCCAAATCTGGACATTGTCCATTGTAAGGACATTATTCCTTTAAACCAAAAATCTACCACCTTGGATATGTGTATCTTGTTCTGATTTGAGATTACATACTTCCACACTGTGTGTTCAGCAGGCTTTACCGGATCTCACTCATTCCTAGCAACATGAGAATTATAAATCCACATCCCTCACCTGCAATTCCAAATTTTAAAACCTGTGAAGAAGTAAGCAATGTTCGACCCAAAACCTGGCATGAACCATCATACTATTTATAAAACCAAACCAAACCCATGGCCATCAAGTCAGTTCCTATTTGTGGCAACCCAGTGGCAGACCTGCCCTCCAGGGTGTCCAAGGCTGTAAATCTTCACAAAACCAGACTGCCTTATCTCTCTCCTGGGAATGGCTGGTGGACCCAGAGTAGCACCTTTCCGTTGGCAGCCCAACACTGAACCTGCTGAACCACCAGGGCTCCTCCTCCTATCACTAATCTTTATTAATCTCACTTAATGTAATTATTCATAATTTATAGACAAAAATATGTTTGATTACAGAGCACTCCCCAGACACCTCCTGTGGTATTTCTTAATACTTAAGATATGCACAATATCCGCATTTTAAAATCTGAAAAATTCTGAATTCCAAAACATATCTGCCTCCAAATTCAGGATTTCTAAGATTATCCCTGAAGGCTGAGAAACATGAAGAGACTGGTAGGCCTCTTTATAACCCCAAAACACCGATTGCTGTACACAATTCTTCCCTGCCCCACAGACTCTTACTCAAAGCCTCATGTTATCCAGATAAATAGATTCATCTGTCTGTTCCCTTCACGCTCTCCAACACTAATCATCCCAAAGACAAGCTGCAGATGGCCTATACCTCTTTCCCAGCGAGATCCCAGAACATGCACACTGGAAGCAAGCAGTCCAGACCTGTGGTTTAAGAACTTCATTGAAAACTCATTTATCTTGTTTTTCATTAGTAATTGTGTTTCAGACTCAGGTGCTATAAGCCAAAGGAAAGATGAATTCACCTAATGTCTGAATAGGGCAGTATGAAATATAGGGAGACCAGAGAATCATGTACCCAATGAGTCAGAGTTGACTCATTGGCAGTGCGGTAGTTACATAATAATTTCATGTCAACTTGAAGTGGAGGGGTGGAGTCTAGCCTGTCAATCAGGTCACAGCCTAAGGGTGACTCCTTGTGGGTGTGACTTCTCATAAGGAGGGTTCTGGGAACTCCTCCTCTCTCTCTGCTTCACCTTTCTTCCGTCAAGCCACTCGGAGAGCTGCCAGAAACACCGTCATTGGATCCACAC